CGACCCGGGTCGCGCTCGGCCACGCGTGCATCGCGGGCGGGCTGCCTCGGCGGACCCGGGTGCGGGAAGCGCGAGAGGGAGGGCTCTTTCCGGCAGGGGCTGCCCGGGGGCTGGACTACAAAGCCCGTCGGGCTGCGGAGCGCCGAGGTCTCTTCTGCAGGGGTTGCCCCCTTGCAAACGCCCCCGGTTTGACTCCAGGACTCATTCCTCCTGCTCCCCACCCTGGTGGCTTCCAGAGCTGTTGGACTATCGTGCCCACTTGCATTTCCCAGAGCGGTTGGACTACATAGTCCATTCCCGTTCCCCTCCCTGGTGACTTCCAGAGCTGTTAGATTACAATGCCCATTTCCCACCCTGGTGATTTCAGATCTGTTGGACTACAGTGCCCCTTTGCATTTCTCAGAGCGGTTGGACTACATAGTCCATTCCCCCTGTTCCCCACCCTGGTGATCTCCAGATCTGTGGCTCACCAGGATGGCATGGGTCATGGTCCCAGGCTGGGGAATGGGCACTGTAGTCCAACAATCTGGGAATCACTAGGGTGGGGAAATGGAGGAATGAGCCTTGGGGCATTTGCAAGGGGGCCACCACTGGAAAATGCAGGCACAGCTGGGGGTTGAAGCCCCGCCCCTTTTTAACATGCAGGGTTAACAAGTCCGGGGGATTCCCCTGAGTCCTTGCAGCTGGAAATCACCAGGTTGGGAAACCGGGGAAAAAGTGTTGCAGTCCCGCATGTCTGAAAGCCATCAGGTTGGGGAACTGGAGCCAAATCAGCATGCTGGTTTGGAGAAGGGCAATGTTAGCAATTAGTACCAGAATGCAAAACGTCTGAATATAATGGAAGACCCCGGATTTGCCTGTCCTGGAGGGCCCGAGGGAGGAGCGAGAGGATGATGTCCCTGATAACCCAGGGGTTGCCACACAGGAGAGGGCAAAGTTGATTTCCTAAAGCTTCTTCAAACACCCTGGCTGAACGCACAGAACGTACCACAGAGGGTCGAGCGGTCTGTAGAAAAGCTAGCCTTTGTCCGAACATAGTGTTGCGTTAAACCGTAACATGTTTGAGCATAATCTGCAGTAGTTCCATGGTGTTAACGAAGGCTGTGCGCAGCATGAGAAATGGGTTTGGTTGCACATTTAACACGTGGGAATTCCGACCACCCCGTGCCAGCCTTTCCATGATCAGCCTAAAGCAAAATCTGGGACTGCTTTCTTGTTCCAGGCTTGGAAAACTCAAATGAGTGCTGGGCATAAAAGAAAAAAACGTGCTTTGCTCTCAGCCGGCGTCTTGGAAGTTCTGCCGAACCGTCGTGGCCCAGCTGTGGTTTGGCTGAAGTGAAACCTGGAACAGTTCGATGACTCTGAGTTTCAGCCAGAGGGGTCTGACAGCCATGCAGGGGGAAGAGGGCGCACCCTGCCTCTCCCTCGCCTTCTGTGTGCAGATAACGTGGTTGGCTGAGAGCGCTTTTAGGTCTTGTGGGGGCCCCTGCTATGTGTGGGTTTAGCACTCGTTTGAAAGAGAGCTAGACCTGGTTATGAAACATGGGTTTAGTGGACTTCGAAGAGGGTTAATCCTGTGCTGTACAGAAGGTTGAGTTAAATGGGCAAGTGAGGTGGGTGCCGTGTGTTTCGGGTTCCGTTACCAGTGGGTGCAACACACTTTCTCCATTGCTTCTACCGACAAGGGGGCATATTTTTACCATGTTATTGCTTTGAGGAGGAATGCATAGCCCATTCCTACGACCCTTGGTTACTCTACTGGCTTTTCCTTGCAGCATCAATGATAGAAGTCACTCATTATCAGTCCCTTTATGCTATTGATCGCTCCCTCCCACTTCAACCTGTGCCCCTCCTAGACGGGGGCCTGTCCGTCAAACATCGTGCCCAGCCTCTCTCCACCGAACGTGGCCATGAATCCATCCACGTGACACCCCCTTTCTCCATCAGCGTCTTTCTAAAAAAGAGCAAACTGGCCTAGACCGAACTCAGAAGATGCCAGAAAGCACAGCTGGCCCACGCAGAAAAAGGCACAGGCGTAGAACCTCCTTATCATTCCCTGGGATACATCTCTGTTGTTTAACTGAGATTTAAGGGTTAGGTGAACCCGTCTGGAGAGAAACCTGAGAGGCAGAACGGTCGAGCAGCGAAGCCATTTACCCAGTGAGGTGGTGAGCTCTACTTTGTGAAGTCTGAACGGAGAGACTGACACAATTGTCTTTGTGTGGAATTCACACATGTTGAGTTCACACATGTTGAGCTGGGCAAGCTTCAGGATCAGTTATGGCTTTAGGCATTTTAATACGCCAGAAAATGTCCAGGGCCTTTTTGTGGTGGCATCCTCAAGGTGGAAGGTGAAGGAAGTAAGGTTAGCATCAGGGGCGATCCAGGGAGCAGAATAAGGTGGTCAAAGCCTGAGCCGGAGGGCAACGGTTGATTGGGTGCGTTGGGAGAATTCTCAGTGATAAAACAGGAAAAAAAAAACAAGTAGAAATCTGTTTCTTAGCGTAAGGAAGATCAGGTTCCTTGCTTGATCTTTACTTGGCAAATCTTTGTATGAAAAGGCATAGCAAACACTTGAATTTCTTCATCCTCTCAGCTTATCCAGTCTATGTCCCCAAACTGTCCATTAGGGTGATCAGCTGCTGGCCCTGCATTGGAAGGAGTGTGAGAAATGAACAATCCACTGTTTTCAGCCCATTTGCACATGCAAATCATTGCTTGGCAATGTGGACATTGAGCAAAGTGACAAGCAGGTGTGAACTGTAGTTTTGTTTGCAGATCTTGGGTTCTACCAGTCACATCTTAAGTTAATTAATGGCTTCTGAAAAGTCCAATCCTGGGCATGTATTACAGGTAGTCCTCGACTTACAACCACAATTGGGGTTGGAACATCCACTAAGCGATGCAGTTGTTAAGTGAGTCGTGCCCAATTTTACAACCTTTTTTGCAGTGGTTGTTAAGTGAATCATTGTGGTCATTAAGCAAATCATGCAGTTATTAAGCAAGTCCGGCTTCCCCCTTTGATTTTGCTTGTCGGAAGCCCCCTGGGAAGGTTGCAGATGACAATCACATGACCCAGGGAGGCTGCAACTGTTGTAAATACATACCAATTGCCAAGCACCCAAATTCTGATCACATGACCGTGGGGATGCTGAAACCGTTGTAAGCACAAGGACTGATCGCAAATCACTTTTTTCAGCGTTGTCATAACGTCAAATGGTCATTAAACAAATCATCATAGTCAAGGTCTCCCTGTATGAGTGCTGGTAGTATTAGCACTTCCTTTAAAGTAAGTAAACCCTGTTTCTTGCATTTACTTATAAATGCTTAGAGAAAGTCCTAAAAAGTCTAGTTTGGTAGCAGAAGGTACGTTTTTGCACGTGTGGGAAGGTGGGTTCACTCCACAACATCTTAGATAATCCATGGTTCTTCTCTCTGGATCAGCTTAATGCTTCGAAGACACTTTATGTTGGCGACAATATTTATCAGCATACTGTTCTCAAGGCCTTTCATGCATCTTAATAATAACTGACACTAAACTAATCACATGAGACATGTTGCCGAACTCTCAGAGTAGCCTGTCGGCAGATGTTGCCAGTTCTCACCCTGTAGAAGGGAATGGGTCACCCTACACGAGATTCCTGAAACACTGTCTGCTGATGCAGTAAGAGTGGAGAAGTAAGAATGTTTGCCACCCTAATTGGCCCAGGAAAGGATTGAATGTTCGTTCTTACCTGGGTTTGATCGAGTTCACTTCTAGTCTTTCTCCAGAGACACTCTAAGCATTTCTTCTGTTCTTTCATCTCCTGAAAGACCTCAACAAACCAAGGAACGTCAGGATCTGCAGAGATTAAGCAGCCACCCAGGAACAACCTCACTGAACATTCTGGTCACCTCCATATTCCAAACCAAGCAAAGCACGTGGTGGCATTGCCTTCCATATTTCTAAGAAACATCCCATATTGCTGTTGAAATCCATCCATTTTGATCCATAAAGCATCTTGGGCAGACCAAGTTAACAGATCCTCTGGCCTTTGGGGGATCAAGGTGGCTACTAACCTCAGGTGAACCAGGAAATGATCTGACAACAACTAAGGACTTTGTCCTCCATTTTCAATCCCTCATTAAACTGCTCTGAAGTGATGACAAGATCTAACATGTGACTGCTCACATCTGTTGGGCCAGAAGTTATCTGGTACAGACCCATGGAGGCCGTGAATTCGTAAATTCTACTTAAACCCCATCCCAGGACCTGGAAGTTGAAGTTTTCTACCATGAGAAGGTAGGGAGATTCCAGTCCCAGTCTGGAGACTAGGTAGGAGAAGATGGAAATGAACCTGGTGTGTTGCTTAGTGGGATATTAAAGTCATATTTTCTTTGGGACACAAAGCCAATGCCTGAACTGGATTACTTTGATCTAGTGTTAAGGCAGGGTTTGGTTAATTATGGTTTATTGTGGACTCCTTAAATGGCTGGGGTTTGCTTAGCCATCAGTCATGATTCAGAGGTGACAGCAGCTGGTTCATACAATATACACCAAACCAAAACCAACAAAGCAAAGTGTGACGTGTAAATCCAACCTTTCTCTGGACTGTGTACACCCCTTGTATGATGAATGGAAGCTTCATAAAATAAAGATGTATCCCTACATCCATGAAGGTAAAATATCCAGGAAGACATTAGAATTCATCTTTTGCCGTGCTAATTTTCTGATGGCTGGGATTTTTCTTCTGGAAAAGAAGCATTCCGTTATGGGAGGCCCTCTGTGAAATTAAGCGACAAAGTGGCTGGTGTTTTGTGGTGTGGTTTTTGAGGGCTGGTGGGATGAAGAATAGATTGAAAGCTGGTCTTCTCTCCTTCCAGTGAAATCTGCAGCCTCTGAAGAAATTCTGCAGCCTTCAAGCTCATTGCGGATGAGTTCTGTTGCCTGGCCAAAAGATGCTCGTCTTCATTAAAAGTGTTAATAAAGTGACTTGTGAACAGTGAAATCTACTGATTTGTCAAGAGAAGGGCTGAAATGACTCTGGTATGGGCTCTGGAAATTATCCTCCTTAAGTTGCACTAAAGTCAGGGAGCAAATCCATATTGAATATTGAGATTCCATAAATCAACAGCTCTCTTCCCTTAAACACTTCTGCCGGAGAGCGTGCTTTGGAGTGAAAGAGGAAAAACAAGAGACTTGAGACTATTTTCTTGACTGGTAAGAATGGTTTGAGCTCTGCTGATACTTTAAATATGTGGTTCAGGAGACACCTTGAGGTCTAAACCAGTCTTTCTCAACCTCAGCAACTTTAAGATGCCTGGCCTTCAACTCCTTTCTGGCTGGGGAATTCTGGGAGTTGAAGGCCAGGCATCTTAAAGTTGCTGAGGTTGAGAAAGACTGGTCTAGATCATTGGAGCCAAAGGTTTATTACGGTATGAGAAGCCTGTTTTGTTGTCTTGCAAAACTACACAGAACAGGAGATATAGCTTAGCACTGTAGTCACTGGGCTTATATTTTTACTACTACTTAGATTTCATTTAAAGGTAAGGAAAAATGGGTTGATAATAAAATTTGCACAACCGTGGAACCATCCACCTATAGAGGTTGCATGTTCTCTGTCTCTGGAGGCTTTGAGGAACAGGTGGGGCAGCAACCCCTTGAAGATGCTTTAACCGATTCTTCTGCCTGTTGCAAGGAGTTGGTATCTTCCAACTCTACCATTCTTGATTCTGTGATTCTAAAAATTCTGTAGCTTTGTTTTGAGAAACAAGAGACCATACAGTGTCACAAATTGCGTGGGATCGTGCAGCTGTTCGGAAAGGAATGAAAGAGGAGACGTGATCAAGAGAAAAAGGCAAGTCAATTATCACATAAATGGCAACTCAACCCGTCTGGGAAGAAGCGTTTTAAGTCCTCCAAAGAGGCTTCACCTTCACAAACTTGCTATAAAGGAGGCTGGGAATTTCCTCTTGCAGTTTCTAAAATTCTGTATTTTCCCCAGGCTAGCATTAAAGAAACGTTTTTGAAATCTGTGCCTCTCTGTTCTTGGCCAGCTGTGTGGCGCTTGATATAAATAATTTCATGAGTGCTTTGTTCCTTAAACCAGCGGTTTTCAATGTTTTTCAGGCTGTGGAATCGTGTGCGTTTTTTTCTTTTTTCTTAAATCCCAGAACCCCTGATCCAGAGGCAAAGCTCTAGTGATAGAAATTTGGCTGTGTTTGAGTCAACTTTATTTTTTTTCCTCTTAAACTCTTGTGGAGCCCTGTTATGTTCTGCTGGAATCCTAGGATTTCCATGGAACGTGTTTGAAAAACCCTGCCTTAAACTATCCTACAGGTTATGTAGGCTTATTGTAGTTCAAAAGGTGGAAGCGTTGAGCTGATCCTCAAAAGCTATGCTGGTTAGACCTGGTTTGTAAACGAAAGAGATGCCACCAGGAAGTTGGAAGAAACGTCCCAGGAGAAGATGATGGCAAACCACTTCTGTAGTGTTGTTAAGAAAGGAACATGACTAGGAGCCCACTAGATGACATCCCTTCGCAGAGCGTGGCTGATCTCAGAAAAGCTAAGCAGATTTAATTTGATTAATACATTGATGGAAGACACCAAGAATGTCCAGGGTGGTAGGCCAGACTGGGAAGGTGAAAAGCATCCAGAAGCTGGGCTAACTCCATGGATGTATTTCTGAGGTCCACCCGGACTCAAACTCAACTCCAGGACATATTTACTTTTTGTACATTAGTAGGAGGGGCAAGTCTTGATCTGCCTAAGACAGCTGGATCGTTTTCTGGTTCTTCTCCAGAAAAATGAAACCCATGCTGGTCATTGCTGCAGTTTGATTTGGTGCTTTGGAAGAATAATGTCGCATTTATCAGGACGTTCTGCAGGGAAGAAAGTATTGTGGTTTGTAGGAGCGTCTGCAGGAAGGATCAGCAACGTCAAAATGGTGGGCACGATCGGGAGATTGAAGCCCTCACGTGCATATTAAAAAAAGGCAGGAGAGACAGATCCTTTTCTCTTGAGATGTATTTCTTTTTCTTCAATCTTCGTATCAAAGGCTGAAATATTATTGGAGAGCCTAAATAATCAGACTAAGCTGTTTTATCTCAGAGGGCTAAAGATTGAAACTCCATTTCCACTATAAAGCATAGGATGACATTGTAACATGAGTAATAAAATTAATTTGAGGTGTTGATTTAAACAGCAATTTATTGTATTCACAATACTGATTTTTTTTAAAAAAAATCGTGTTAGTGCTGACCTTCTGACTATAGTGAATGGAAATCAATGCATTAGAAAAATATTTCCCCAATTTCTGATAGTTAAAGCATTTTTTGCACCAAAATTGGTGGTTCATTTCATTCTGTCCATCCTCAGTCACCTCTGAGATTGATTTTTATAGTGCCTTAATGTGCAAATGACTGAGAATTTACTCTGTTAAGCTTCTGCATGGCTCACTTATTTGGCATTTTCTCATGCAGAGTTGCAACAGGCTGCCGCATCTTGATCCGGATGATCCGACTACATCTCCCTGCTTGGCTGATCCAGTACTCCTAGTGTAGAAACATTGCAGAAATTCCCACTTCTCACAGAAACAAGATGCTCTTCCCAGACCAATCATTCATGCAGAGTTGCAGCAACCACTCCTCTTTAGTAGGCTCACAGGATACCATGCGTGATTAAACCTTTCTTTTTTGGCACCCAGTTTAGGAATTGTTTGTCTGCAAAACTTCCAGGGGACTAAAATATTTATATGTGTGTTTATCTGTATCTTTATGCAGGTGCCAGCGGTGGGTTGAGAACTGCCGAAGAGTTGATCTGGAAGACAAGACTCCAGATCAGCTGAACAAGCATTACAGGCTATGCGCAGAGCATTTTGAAACTTCAATGATATGCCGAAGCGTAAGTGGAAGGAAGCTGTTGACTGCATAACACAGTGTTTCTCAACCTTGGAAAGGTTCCCAGAATTCCCCAGCAAGGCTGGCCGGGGAATTCTGGGAATTGAAGTCCACACCTCTGAAAGCTGCCAAGGTTGAGAAACACTGGTATAACGTGTATCTGAATTCCTTTTTCCCGTTTTGCACTCTGTCGACAGTAAAAGACAATTTTGACAACTCAGCAGGAGGGTCATACTAAGCAAAAGCCATTTGTGGCTTGATTGATTGTAGTTAATTAAGTAGCTCCTTTGCTGGTGAGACCGTAAAGCCCCTAGATTTTTGCAGGAACCTGGAAGACGTGGATTATATTCCATCTTCTGCTGTGCATGCTCGTTTGTTTCAGCAGTTTTGTGCCCTGTTGGGATACTTAAATACCGACAGTCCCCTACTTACGGACAGGTTACGTTCCAAGACGCTGTTTGTAAGTCCGTTTTGTCCATAAGTCCAACCAAATAAAAAGTAAAAAAAATAGGAGGAGGCAGGGCAGTGGTGTGGGCAGAGGAGCCCCATCTTCTGCGGCCAATGCGTCGCCAGGAGAGGGGGTGGTAGAGGAGGAGAGGGGAGCGAAGGACGAGCTGGTGGGCCGCAGCACGCTCCGTTGCAGGGTGAGGCAGGAGATCTCTGCCCCCTGTCCTCTGCCACCACTCCTTCTCCTGCCTCACCCGGTGACAGAGCACTCCACGTAAACTAACCCTTTCTGAAAATTCCAATTCCAATGCAAACGGAAGGCGGGAGAAGATGGGAAAGGGTTAGTTTGTGGCACACTCCAAACTAACCCTTTCCTGCCTTCTCCTGACTTCCAGGCCCAACTTCTGGCCCGACTTCCGGGTCCATCTTGTTCGTATCAGTGAAAATTCGCAACATGAAAGTTCGCAAGTAGGGGACTGTCTGTATAAAAACATGCCGGGGTGATGGGAGTTTAGGGAAATCGCTGCTGTATGTGAAGGGGGAAAAGCCCTGGCAGAGCCTTCTGATTGGAACGACTGAATTGCAGTGAAGTGTCTCGTCTGCGACTCTCCCGGGAGAAATTCTGTCTCTCAAATCAAAGAGCATACTGTACCCCCATCTGGGAGAGAGGGGTGGCATGTAAATTTAATAGTAAATACAATAAACAAATATTTTTTGTTTTAGAGAAAACCCTCCCAATGTTTTCTCTAAACATTTGCCTTTGAAGTAGCCGAGGGAATTAACTTGCATGAGAAATGCAGAAGCAGGTCGGTTTTCACTCCACCGGTCCAAAACAGATTCCCGACTTCCATTTGTCCCAGCTGATCCTTTAATTTTTTTTTAATAATATTTTATTGAAATTTTAAAGTTACAAAGTTAAAAGTTAGAAATGAAAAAGAAAATTGAAAATACAAATTATAAAGAAAAGGAAAAGAAAAAGTGAGATAAAGTAAAAGAAAAAGAAAAAAAAATTGAAAATACAAATTATAAAGAAAAGGAAAAGAAAAAGTGAGATAAAGTAAAAGAAAAAGAAAAAAAAATTGAAAATACAAATTATAAAGAAAAGGAAAAGAAAAAGTGAGATAAAGTAAAAGAAAAAGAAAAAAGTTATGAAAAATGGATAACTTCCCATCTACCAGCTGATCCTTTAATTGTAAAGAAACACAGAGTTAAATCTCAGGTAGGGGTTCAAAATAATGGCACATGCGTTGTAGCATCCCCACGCAAGGAAGGCAGTTTTCTTTTTTCAGCGTAACGTCCGACATAAGAAGAAGGCCGCTCCGTTTGCGTGATGATTTCAGGACGCAGTTCTCAGCCTGTCGCCCCTTTGTCTGTAGGCACCCAGGGGAGTCTCCCTTATAGCTAGCAAAGTGAATTAACGTAACGTGATTCCCAGAAAATTAAGTAAAAACCCAGGCAGAGGGCCGCAGAAAATAAATGAGGCTTTAATTGGTGGTTTCCAGCAAGAAACAAGCCAGGTGGGCTGGCTGGCTTGTTTTTTGCCAGCAAGCAAGGGATCGGATGGGCTTGATGGCATCTGAACATGAAGCTTTGAAGGAACAAACAGGGTGTCAGAAAGAGGGTGGCCCACCTGCTTTAGAAATTAATCCCACCCACTATTTGCTTTAGCCCAGTGTTTCTCAAACTGGGCAACTTTAAGACAGGTGGACTTCAACTCCCAGAATTCCCCAGCAATTGCCCAGTTTGAGAAACACTGCTTTAGCCCCTTCCATATACAGTGGTACCTTGGGATACGAACGCCTCTACTAACGAACTTTTCGGGTTACGACCCGCTCCGGCCGCAAAAAT